TTTGAGTTAAAATATATATTTATAATTTTAATAAATGACAAATTAAAAAGACATGAACATTTTTTGTATCGAAAAAATATCGAACCGTGACACCAAAGTATCGAACCGAACCGTGAATTTTGTGTATCGTTGCGCTCCTAATATATAGCTATATATTTTATAATCTTTCTTGTGAAAAAAAAAAAAGTGGTGGAATGTTGCTTCCGTGCGTTTGAGCAGCTCTGCTCCTGTGGGTCCATAAATAAACTGTCTTATCTGTTTTATCCATGTTTTTAACTTCAGTTCCTGTCACCTGCATTTTGTCCCTCTCGGGATACAGCTTATCTTTAAAAAAAATTTCAAGTTATTAACTTAAAAGATGACTCAGATTAAAATTATTCTTCCACCCTCTCATGTTTCTGAAGTGGTTCCACACTTTTAGCTTGTTTATTTCGATCTGAGTCAGATGATGAGTTTGCAAACTTGTGGTTTGGTTCCTTTCACAAACAGAAAACTCAAAGTGAACCAAAATGCATCACTAAGAACCTGAGTGCATCAGTCTGGGTTGGATTATGATTTGAATCACGTTCCCACCATAAATGAACTGTTCTGGAGATCATCTGCAGCCAAACTTAGAACTCCTTTTTAAAAGGTGCGGTTGTTTTTGGTCCCCACCAAAGTTCGCACTGTGTTCAGGTCGGCAAAAAACAAACCCCATCAAGAGGCGGTGAAATGAACCAGAGCTTGATTCAAATGGACTAAACAGGATGTGTGAAACAGGCCCTGCTCTTTATTTGATGACAGCTTTTTCTCATTCACTTGCATGCTTAATGGTCAGCAGCTACTCTGGAAGTGAAAACTCATCCCAGAGCTCAGGGTCACACTCAGAACAGAGCGATCCCTGACAGAACTGATTTCCCCCTGACAGTTCAGTTGCAGGCACGGGATGCCATTAAATGTGCTTGTGTTAGCTTTGTGGCTAATCACGCAGAACTACAAAGCCTCCTGTGGGTGGACGGGAGGACAAAACCAACAAACAGAGCAACCCTTCAGTCTCTCAGTGACTATCAGAGCCACTTTCTCTGCTGATTACGCCAAACAGGCACACTTAGAGCAGACAAAACACTGCATGCCTGAGAAAACGTGCACAACGCACACACGCACGCACACACACACACACACACACACACACACACACACACACACACACACACACACACCATGTGTGATAAAAGTACACATTTGGATAGAGAAGTGAATACTGCATTGTTTGCTTAGCACACAGAATAGCAAATTTAGAAGTTTGCACATGTTTACAGTATGAAGAACCCCAAAAATGTATAACAACACACACACGCACACACAAAGCTTTCTCAGAGCGATCACTAATCTCTGCCCTCATCTCCTGTCCTGTGCAGCACTGCTTGTTTGGGTTTTGTCAGAAACAGCAGCTCTGGTTCGAAACGGAGACATAAAACAAACTGCTGATAGGCGGGACAAAAATGCGTTTATATAACCTCACCTGTGTGTTTACCGAACGTTCCCGCATGGCACACAGCGCAATCACGCTCCAATGACCTGAGGTAATTTTGTGAGGACCGTTAAGGCAGATTTACACTTCGAACTGTAACGCTCACGTGCAGCTAGAATAATACTTGCTGTAAAAAAAAAGAAAAAAGTAGTATTCTCCACCATTCTGCATTCGAATGATTTATTGTAATTATCTTAGCATGCAGAGGAGGGTTTTTCTGCCCTGTCCTTTTACAGTCTGTTTCAGACGATTTTTCATCCCACTGATGGAAGAAATCCTGATGAAAATACTCAGCAGAGCTACTTGGAATTTCTTGGCATGCAAACAGTCAGATTAAAAGATTGAAAGAGCTGTGGCCAATAAATTGTTTATCACCAGATTCATGGCAAAAATGCTTGTATCAGCAATAAAAAACACGCTCGAACGACCTCATTCATTTATCACGCAGAATACCGAACATGTTCGCTGTTTCATATCAGTTTAAAAAATTAGCACTCTGGGTTTTTTCAGCTGCATGGCTCAAGGGGATATAACTTTATCATTTCATGCTCCGCTTGACTGATTAATTAAAAGGATAATACGTGGACGCAGCAGTGCCCACTTCACTGGGGAGCAGCTGTTTCTTGGGGTCTTCTTTAACAGGATGGAAAGAGTGGAATGGGAGAGAACTTAAAGCGGAGCTGTGGATTTACCAGTCAATCTACGTTACTGCTATCACCTTTGACCACATGTTGTGGGCAGTGACAGAAAGAATTAGATTTTGGATAAAAGTGGTGGAAGTGAGGCTCATCTGAAGGCTTGGGCTCACCTTATCAGGTGAGGAGCTCAGTCATTCAGGAGGGAGTTTTTTGATCCACGTAAAAAAAAAAGCCAGCTGAGGTGGTTCCAGCATCTGGCTAGGATTGTTCAATTATTAGGACACAGTGGAGAGATTTTGCCTCCCAGGTGGTTTAGGAATGCCACCACGACCCCCCTGGAGAGTTGGAGGTGGTGGTTGGAGCCCACACCCTGCTATTGTCAGATTGTTAAAGAAGAGTTCTACTTAAAGTCCTGAGACGTGTCAAGGAAGCCGTAGGTTTCTGGGGTCAATCCAAGAATCTGCCCACCAGATTTGGCTTCCTACAAACTCATCTACTTCCTTTAAATGAAATTCAAGATGAGGGGTGGCAGGTTTGATGCACCACAAAGGGCTGCAAATACAGTGTAAGTGGTTTGTTGCAGTAAGATCAAACGAACAAAATTTATCTCTTAAAATGATCCATTTAGTGAGAAGAAAATAAGTTTTTATTCGTGTACGGGCTACAGCTTTGATGTAGTACCACTTTTTATCTGTGTAAAGGCCTCTGCTCACAGGCTGCAAAGGAAACTCTCACTTTCCTGTCAGGCATGGCTGATTGCAGCAGAGCAGGCGCTCGGCTTCAAAGTCGTCCGGCTGTGTTTGTTTGTGGAGATGGCCGTGATAGGAACTTGGCTTTGAAATGCTTAAGGTTGATCTCAAGCAAAAACATTGTCAGTTCACACCTTCATCGACACACTCGCTCGCATCAACACCACCATTAAACCGCAGGTTGAACCGACATCTCCATCTCCTGCGTTTGTTATCACGCAGAGAGCGGCAGCCGGAGTCAAGAGCAGAGGAAGCAGGAGGGAATGAACGTGACCACTCCTTTAGTCTGTTTTCTTAACACGACTGCCAACATGAAGCGAAACAAAGCTTGATTTCTCGAGAGCGAGTGAAAAAACGAGCACATGGCGTGTGACTACGTGGTCAGAAGAATCAAAACAAGTGAGACTAGCAACAGAAAAAAAGATGTACGTGTGTGAAAAAAAGAGAAGGTGAATAGTGGTGTGATTAGCACTGGAATTGATAAAGATTTAAAAACAACCAAAAAACAGGCAGTAACCGGAGTTCGAGAACATTAACTTCTCTCCTCTTACCACGTGGTTGGTCCGGTCTCTGATGGGCTGGTATCCCGGCATGGGGACACACTGATCGGCGTGGCCGTTACAGAAGCAGCTCCCCTTCACTATCAGGTCGTAGATGGCGAAGTGTCGGGTGGGGAGGGGTTCGTGTGCGGAGGTGAGGTCTTTGGCCTGGCAGGGACACTTCTGATGCTTCAGCAGTCTGATCCGGATGTTGGTCACCTTCAGCTGCTGCTGGCCCTTCAGCCCGTAAGGATCCACGGACTCCCACTTCGGAAGGGTTCGGTAGATCACCTGACATTTAGAAAGAGACAATCAAGGAAACAAAAAGAAAACAAAAATTAAATGAGCAAAACACCAAAAAATGGAAATTCCTCTATTTACCCACCTCACTGTGATCTAATAGAACTAAAAAGTCATTTTGTAAGACATGCATCGTTGAAATTACAGCAATGATTGACACGGGTTTACCTTTTTCATGCTACATCTAACTGGAGAAATGTGCTGCTCATTGCCTGGGACGTCTTTCATGGAAAATGTCTTCCAACTTATTTTACAGCTTCAAAGGTATACTCTTCCTATTTTATTAACCACTACAAACACACTAGAACAGATTTTAAAATACATTTTACAGGCGTTTGTAGATTTCAGGGTTTGATTGATTGTGAGGTGCAACTTTGTCTCCTTCCTTAAAGTCATGCATGCTCTGCTCTGCGGGTCTCATTAGGTGTATATACAGGACATGAATGTCAGTGATGATAGCCCCAGACCATAATGCCACCACCATACTTTACAGTTGCTATAGTGTTCTTGGTTTGCAAGCCTCACCTTTACTCCTCCAAACATACTTGCAACTTGCTAAGGGGCATTTAAAAAAAAGATACTCGTGAGGGAGTATGTGTATATTTGTATTATTTGTGCACCTAATTGTTGTTTTCAGTTCAAAGACATCACTCAAAGCTCATAATTCCCATGAAAATGTATGCCCATGACGAGTGTATATAAATGTGGTTTTCAAGCCTCTTTGGTTCTTCAGGTGTATTTAGTTACAGAAGTGGATACATTGATATCACTTATGTCACCACATCTGTTACATTAAAGTGGTTTGTTTTGGTTTCATTCATGTACCAAACTTTGACCTTCCACCCGGCCATTATTGCTCATGTCCTCACTTGGTAATGTGGGTTCTGTGCACTGCACCCCCTCTTTTACACTCTCTCGTCCATGGATATCCTTCAAATTGAAGATCCCTTTATGGGCTGCCATCTCCATGGCTACTGCTGCCACTGGCAACCATCGCCGCTGCTGTCGTCGAGGTGAAAAAGTTGCTGTTGGCCCCGACTCTCACTATGAAAGCAGCATGTGAGTTTGCAGTGTGCCGAGCTGTCACTGATATCATTGTGTGAGTGGTGTGTGTTTGTGTGCAGCTGAGTGTTTTTCTTTGGTTCAAGAAAAACAACCCTGCTGCTTGCTGATTGGCTGGATGACTGGCGGAGAGTGTGATGGGAGGAGCACTATTAATTTCCCTGTTGTTGGAAAAGGTCACGAGGTCACAGCATTGTGGTCGCAATTAAGAGAACACGACAAATAGGATGAGGGGCGCTGGTCCGCGGGAGAGCACGGAGAGCAGGGTCAGACAAAGGCGGGGATGGAGATGCAGCTCCACATAACTCAGAGCTGGACAAAAGCCTGCGACACCCTAGCGACACCACGGCAACACCAGCACACACATGCACCCACATCGACATGCACATAAACATACGCTGACAACACAAATCAGCATCGCCTGGAGCTTTTACTACTGCTGCCCTGGAAAACAAATATTCACATTTATAGATATGCTGATGACACCCATGTTTATCTTAATCCATGATACACACAGAGATGAAGCCACAGTCTCCTCAGGTTTGTGTTGAGGATACATCCTAGCAATACAAAAAGGTTTGTGTTCAAGAACCCTTTCATATCATCCTTTATTGAGTGGAATACCACGTGCCACTAGTCGACTCAAATTTGCAACCTCAAGCTCTGAACACAGCTCTGACATCTTATTACTGTTAAGTTAGCTGTTAAATTTGTTTCAGGCCCCAGTCATGCAGGCCTAGAGACTGGTTGGTTACCCTTTGGTAAGCCCCAGTTGATAGAAAAAACAAAATTGTGTTGCTCAACCGGCTTGTGGGTGTTTACTTCCAGGTTTTGGTTACTAGTTGAATTAGGGAAGTGGCTTACTTACGGTAATGTTTTTGACTTGAGTTAATTGCTCACCTGTCAACTGTCATTTGGGTTTATACTTTGCTTTATCTTTTTTAGTTTACTTACACAGCACAGGGCCACCCATCCACATACTACATGAATGACCTATGAACATAATCAACCTTTTGTTTTTTAATAAACTTGCTTTGCATATGAGCTGATACACGTTTTGTTCATTTGAGCTCTACATAAGTACAGCTGGCAGAAATATGAGTTTTCAAATAGTCAAAAAGACCAGAATATATCATTAAACCATGCATGTCTCACAAGGTTCCTGTATCCAACATGACAGATTTTGAGGATAAAAAAATGTATTATTGAACTTACATTCGCAGCAAACATTTTAGAAAAAAATAAAACCAAAAAACCATCAGTGTAAATATGCCTGCACTGGCTGTTTTGGTCAGGGGGGGCAAACTGATGCGTAAATAACTTGGTTAGTCTGCATTAGTCTGCATGTAGACTGAGAGTCTTTGCACTTTGCAGGATATCAACTGTTAATACACTTATGGAAGCTGAAAGCCGTGCTGAAACCTCATACCGCACTTGGGAAAGTTTTCCACCTGCCATTAAGCTATGTAACAAATTTCCGGCTCTGTGAGGCGGCAGGTTCACTGAAAACCTTTCTTCCTGTTTCAGCCTGCAAACTTAAAGTAAGCCTGCCTTTAACAGGCCTAATTCCATCAAAGCACTGTGGACTGTAATCTGGTAAACAGGCACAATGGGCATTGATGGAAGGAAAAAGACGGAGTAGGGGGGATGGGTGTCTAGCCAACAGTACCAACATCCATCAGAGCAACAGCACTTCCTTCCCAGCAGACAGAGGAGAGGGAGAGCCTCTACTGTAAGTGTTTATCTGAAAGGGCACTGATGAGTGTGTGCGTGCGCGTGCGCGTCGGCTGGTCTGCGTCCCTCTCTCTTCCCTAAGGAGGTCAGTCTGGACAACAAACACTCACATTCTTCCAGCCCAGCTGACCTCATAAATAAGACAAGCAGCTCTGAATACACACTCTCTCTCTCTCCCTCACTCACACACACAGACCACCTTTTCCACACATTACAGGTGAACACGAACAGCTTTCAACACATGAGATGACATGCTTTCATGTTTGCGGGTGAAAGAAGAGAAGAAGAGAGCTGAGCATACCTGCTGCCTGTAATCGCTCCCAGCTATGACCCCCCCCCTCCCCAAAATTCACCACAGCTCTCACTTATCTCATCACACAGCCTCAGACACTCACATGCAAGCAAAAAAAAACCCCAAAAAAAACACACACCGCAATCACACGCATGCATACAATCAAACATCACTCGGCTGATGCGTCTGCTATTCATCTTGCTTGATATTTTAGCGCAGTGGCATTTTTTCATTGACATTTCTGTTTCTGAAGGAGGGTCGGTACTCTGTGAAGCCAAAAAAGTTTCATTCTGCAGAAATAATCTAAAACAGCAGTGGAATATTAATTTCTTTTGTCAATTTAAGTGCATTAAGCGCAACCACAGTCCAATATGACATCTAAAAAGCTCCATGAAAGACAAGCGATGGCATGTCTGTTCAGCGGTCACTGACGGTAAGTGAGTTTATGTAAAGTTGATTAAAAAGTTATTCAAGTTATTCATTTTTTTGTGATAACAGCCACAATATGCAGCTGGACCCTCCTGAAAACAACAAGTAAAGGTTCCAGTAAATGTTACAAAGCTCAAATTAAATAAAGGTGTTATTGAAGCCTTGGGAATTTGCGTATAATCGGCGACGTGGTGTGGGCAAACCTTGAGGGTTTGGTCTATTCCAAAAAGTTCCCTGTGCCCCTCAGAGAGGCTGAGATGGTTTGGACATGTGCACAGGAGGGATAATGGATCTACTGGACAAAGGACGCAAAGCGGTTGACCTCAGAGGACATTCATGGACGTAGCAAAGGAGGACATGGAGAGGGTTGGTGTGACAGAGGAGGATGTGAGGGACAGGGTGAGAGATAGATGATCCACTGTGGTGACCCCTAAAGAAGCAGGTCAGGAATAAGTCACATCTTAGTGCATCCGTAGTGAAAGAGGACAAAACAATTCCCACACAAACAAAGTGGCTGATGTTTTTCAAGCATAAGTGAAAGTAGGACTTTTTGAAGAACCCTTCATTATAAAAAAAAGTAAAAGCCGAATTCGTGATCTTTTTCAAATCAAAACTGGAAAAGAAATCCAAATCTGAAACTCTGCACTCATAGTAAGCAACCACTGCAGACCCATTGTGTGGTGAGGTCATGAATCCACTCACGCACGATGTCTCTCCTGCTTTGTTTACTTCTCTGCAGCCTGTGAAGGTGGCCACATGTATGTTACCGCCCCCTGAGGTACTGTTATCAATATATATTTTAACAGGTTTCTGACTTTTAATTGAAATAGTACCCGAGTGCAGGCCAACTATGAACATAACTGTGAGAACTTAGTATTCATGAGACAACAAGTGAGATTAGCATGGAATAAAGCTCTATATTCGTACAGTACATACATAAATAAGGCTTGTTGTCATGTCGTGACCTTGACTGTCAGTAGAGATGATGTAGAAGCAAAAACCAAAAGGTGCACAGACGGTGTGAGCAGCTGAACAGCAGCAGCTGGTCTGTCAGTGCACTACTTAACCTCTTTCAACCCCAGGGTCATCAGTGGAGAGGTTAAAGGGCAAACAGGTCATGCTCCTAGCACAGGTTGCTCACCCAAACAAGCCGGAGAGACGCAGGAGACGGAAAACAAGCTGCTATTTTCAAACCTTCACGCACAAAAGGAGATGGAGAGGGGAAAAAAGACCTGAGAGCCTCACGGAAACACCTCAGAGTAGCAGGGAAGAGTCCACATTTCATATGAAAGCGCTGCAGGGGAGCCCGGCACAGCATCGGGTTTGGCATGTGCCTCAGCACACATCTGCAGAGCAGCTCCCAACACACACTGCTTCAATTAAACATCAATGGAGTGCAGGAAGCCCTCTCGTGCTACAGTCAAAGTACGCCTATTAAACACTCAATCATGCACTCGGGGAGCTTCCCCCCACCTGGCTTTCCCTCTGCTCGGCGTGCTGTGTGACTCTTGAATGTTGCGTGACTTACTGCAGAAAGATCTGACTTTGCTCCAACAGGAGGGGTTAAATGATGGAGAGGCTGCCCTTCAGGATTGGCTGTTAAGTAGCTCGCTTTACCTGTCACCCGTGACATCATTAGCACTTCATTCATGGAGGAAGAAAAAAGCTGCACGACGAGCAGGAAAGTCTGTCAGGCCTGCAGGTGTGCATCCGCGCTCCTTCCCACCTGCGCTAACCTGCTATCCGAGCAAGCTGGCGGTGTTTGGACTCGGAGGAAAGGTGGGAATTCGAGACCTGATACAAATCTGATCATCAAAACTGCTTCCAGAAAGAAAGCAGGCCAGTCGAAGAACAGTAACAGTGCAGCCTTTAAACTTCAAACTGTTGCTGTTATCTACCTGCAGAATTTCACTTTTTTCTGCTTCAGGCTGTGCTTTCATGAGGTTTCCCTGATTGACTATTTTCCTCTTGAGGCTGTAATCATTATGATTTCAGAAGGAAATGATCTACGCTCTAGGTCATCTTTGTACCTGCTGTGTATAAATTGGAGAGACCACCGGGTTGCTTATTTGTAAGAAACAACCAACAAAGAAAACTTTGGGTTTAAAAATGTGTTGGATTGTGTGTTTTAAGAACCAGATGAGACCACCAACAAGCCATAAAACCAAGGTCTCAGAGTTTCACAGAGACTTAGATGTCAAAATGTAAGTCGTGATGAGGACTGTTTTCAGTTCAAAGACATCACTCAAAGCTCATAATTCCCATGAAAATGTATGCCCATGACGAGTGTATATAAATGTGGTTATCAAGCCTCTTTGGTTCTTCAGGTGTATTTAGTTACAGAAGTGGATAAATTGATATCACTTATGTCACCACATCTGTTACATTAAAGTGGTTTGTTTTGGTTTCATTCATGTACCAAACTTTGACCTTCCACCCGGCCATTATTGCTCATGTCCTCACTTGGTAATGTGGGTTCTGTGCACTGCACCCCCCCTTTTACACTCTCTCGTCAATGGACATCCTTCAAATCAGAGGGCCCGGTGGCGCCAGTGTCCGGCAGCCTCGCCTCTGTCAGTGCGCCCCAGGGTGGCTGTGGCTACAATGTAGCTGCCATCACCAGTGTGTGAATGGGTGGATGACTGGTTGTGTAAAGCGCTTAGGGGTCCTTAGGGACTAGAAAAGCGCTATACAAATACAGGCCATTTACCATTTGTAAACTGACTGCGGCAGGTGTTAAAATGGAAACACACAAATGCTAAAACATGTTGCCAAATATAATAATTTTCTCTTTCATGTCCAATAAAATGTGGCGTGTAGCGTCCTTCATCTGATGCACAATGTCCAGAAAAAGCAAAATCAAAATTTAATTCCAGTGAGTCCCATCTGTGCTGCTGCAATCTGAAACATTAAATTTTATCCATCACAGAGACTGTAAATCCCTCTGAGATCTGCTATGAAAATAAACCTCACACAACCTCTATTTTGACATATACTCCCAAACTGGACCCCAACCAGGTTATAGAGACACTTTAAATGATTCTGCAGTCTGCTAGAAATGTAGCTCTGTTAATGCAATACAGGTGCAGTTTATGTTTTTTCCAAAGATTTATTTACTAGAAGGCTGTGAGCAGTAGACCCAGGCTGATAAAACTAAGAAGACATGGTCAGAGAGTCATTTCAGGACTCGGTGACTGAATTAAAAAAAGCAGCTGCATGTGAAAGGCACAGAGGAACCTTGGGTGCTGGTATCGATGTTACTTTGACACATCCCATCCACCTAAACACTGCAGCTCCAATTGTAAGACACTTCCCACCAGAAGCGAGCACATAACACAAGAAAGAGCCCAGGCCTCCAAAATCCTCAGATCCCAATCCAATCAAGCATCTGCAGTATGCACCAGAACGAGCCCAATCAACAGCCCTGCCCCCAACGGGACTCCACTGCCAGCGCCTCAGTGCCAGACCCACAGGAAACCCCCAAAGGTCCATGCCCTGACGTTTCAGAGCCATTTTGGCAGCACCTAAGGGGATTTTTTTTCTATTAAAGCTCCTGTGTTAAGAGGAGATAAAGAAAAAAAAACCCTGTCTTTGAATACTGTGTAAGAGATATGTTTGGCTTCTCTTCTTTCCATTGCCTTTATATGCTGGGATCCTGGATCTGGAGCATAGTCAGATGACACATTCTGGGGACAGGAGCCAGTATTTTGGGGGTTTCTGGGAGAGATCCAGGCCAAAATGTCCCATTTCACGCATTTGTTTAGAAAGCTAAACTGCAGTCAGATGACAGCTGATGGTTCGGAGATTCCCATTTGTCTCAAAACTGCTTTACTGATCCCTACAGATTCTGCATGCTCATATTCAGAGATTATATGCAAATTAACCCTGCTCGTCTTCCTGCTTTGTGGGAATATGGAGCTAGAGTTGATTTGAAATAGAATAATTCTTTATTCATGTTCAGTGTGACTGATGTCATAAAAAACCCCTAAAGACTTGGAGCATCGCCTCACCTCTCCGCGGTTGCAGGGGTAGGCGCCTGAGTACTTGGACGTGCAGGTGGCGCCATCCTGGCCAATGCCTGCCTTTCCCTCTTCCAGCCTGAAGGCGGCGCTGCAGTTGGTGGCGTAGTACTGCATCATCCTCCAAGTTCTCCCGAAGTCCTGCGAGCGCTCCAGAGTCATGGCGGCAGGCCTAGGTGAGCGAAACACCAGGATGAGATGCGTGAAGTAGAACTCAGTCTCCAGGTCCAGCTGCACAGTCTCCGACTCCACCCCTCCAGCCGACTGCCACCAGGTGTTCGGGTGACGGAAGGAGGAGTCGGACATGGCCCCGGCCAGATGGGACAGGTGGGGCAGGCCGGCGTTGCATTTGGTGCACTTGGCGGGGCTGCAGGCCAGGTTGGCGTCGGGGTCGGAGTAGAAGCAGTGGAGCTCGCTGCCGTTGTTGCCACAGACGGTCTGCGTCAGCACCCTGCGACCCAAGGCAAGGTTCCCCATGCGGGGGTTGCAGGCGCGGTTCTCACAACGGGGGGCCACGCCCCCATTAAACACCACCTCAGACAGACCTGCAGGACGGAGAGAAGGAACTTTACTATGGACTCACATGACACCATCCTCAGTCACTTTAAAGGGTTACTCCACCCAAGAAACCAAAAAAAAACCAACAACCCCAAAACAAAACACTGACCTTTACCAACACCTGGCCATGTAGGTGGGATTATTTGACTAAAATATTAAAAATAATGGTTCTCACACCATCATTAAAAGTAAAACTTCTCTCCCGAGTCCAGTTTACTCTGCAGAAAAACAATATCAGCAGTTTCTTTGGGACTATTGGCAAAAGTAAAATGAGTTAAAGAGAAGGGGAAACACTTTAAAGACCAGATTAAATCCAACCGGAATTATCTGCTTGGGTAGATATCACCCAATAAAGACATATCAGTCCATCTACAAAATTGGCCCCATTAGTGTAAAAAAAAAAAAAAAAAGAAGAAGCAAAGAGTCTTGGATCATCTTGAAAGAAAATTAATATTTTTCTCAATTTGTCCAGTAAAACTAAACATTTTCCTATTATACTTAGATTTAAATATTCTGTTTGTCAAAAAGACACAATCTCTCTTTGTGGCAGTTTTTGTCCATTTGTGGTCTTTTTTCTCACCACATTCTGGATGATTCGCAGCTCTTTCAGTGGTATATTTAACATCTTTGAGCCTCTTCTGTCTGTATTTCTACCTGTTTTGCATCTTTTCCCGGTTTTATTGGGTTACTTTCACTTTTCCTGGACTCTCATTCGAACAGAAACCAAACAAAAACAAAGTGTGAAACTAAAGCTGGGCTAATGCTTTGTTTTCGGTGTCAGTGGACCAAAAATCAAACCAGCCAAAGAACAGTGAACAGACACACCTCATTCAGTCTGAGAGTGAGTGGGGCAGCTGAGAAATGGGCTGTGTGTGTTTGTGTGTGTGTACACAAGTCAAGTGTTTTACCTCGATCGGAAATGTTATGCAAAAAGGATAATAGAGGCATTGTGCACCTGCCTGCCACGGACCGCAGGCAGCGTGGACTCTGACACAGATAAAGTTTGGCAGCTCGGGGACGATGAGCAGCATTCAGACGCCTTCCAGACGCTCTACAACCCTAACCCTCCACCCACTCCACCCCTCCGGGCAAATGGTGTCATCCCCACTGTGGATTTATTACTTTAAAACCTGGAGCCCTCTACTGCTTCTGTCATGTGCAAGACCTCACAGATAGGCTCACATTACATTTTACAGGATGAATTATTGCATATTTGCACTTTTTATAGGTGGATTTTCTTTGTTAGGCGGTAGATCCATATGAATTATGTCACAGTGTTGATGGGGGGAGAATAAATGGATGTAAAATAACAAAAATCACAGGTTTTACAGGAAATTGAATATGCTTTAATCAGAAATAACTCAATTATTCAACTATAAATCACAATATCTGCTCTTTGAAAGTGAAACACTGAGGATGGGACACATCCTCTATTGTTCTCTTCCTTCCTGGAGGTTAATATAAAAGCTGATTATGATCATCTTTCAACATATGTGTGTTAATTATCTTAAACCTGAGCAGTGAGAGGTTAAATTGCCCCAAATTTCAAGGGAGTTCTGCATTGCTGCACTTGCCACGGAGACATTGTTGCCCCAGTGGCAACCCCCCTAATAATTTTTTTTTTAAAAAAACATCACACTGACCTGCATCTGAAAACACAGCCAGGCTGACCACGAACAAGAAAAACATATCTCCTCTGCTGTGGGAATAGTCCAAGATATGTGGGGAAGAAAAGCGAGCCAGAAAATCCGCTGGAGTTACTCAGAAATCAGGGAGCTCATCCACAGTGGCAAAGTTTAAAAAAACAAGGCAAGTGCGCAGGGTTCAGCTCCAGTGTGGACTTTCTCTTTCACTCAGCTGCGATCCAACAGGGCGATGATAACTCAGCCGTATGAAGGAACAGCATGATCCCGGACGGTGTGAGGTGTCCCGTAGAGAAAGGAGGAGGGCCGAGGAGGAGGAAGAAAAGTAAACGGGTCTGCCTGGCTCGTCTGCTGCTCCGGGACCTGCGGCGTGGTTCATCTCCCTGCGGTGATCTGCCTCTGAGGGCGCACGGAGACGCAGAGGAGGTGCGGTGACAGCGCTGTGCGCCAGCTCCGCCTCTCCCTCCGGATTTTTCTGCGACTTAAAGGAACATTCCAGTTTGTGCTCCCAGCCTCATCTTCGCACCAGCGGGGTCCCGGCACGAGGACCCGGGACCACGCGGGGGGGACTATATGAGGAGTTCAGGGAGTCCAAACTTCCTTTAAAGGCGCATTTCCTCACTTCTTGACATGCAAATTTGGATGCTCATATTAAATATATGACTTTCAATTAATGACTAGCATCTCAAACGCACTCGAACCTAAGAAAACACCAGCAAGTAGAAAAATAAAACACAAGATGAAAAAAAATAATCGGGAAACAAAACGGAAGTGATTTAGTGATTGTGGAGAGACAAAAAAACAACAACAAAACAAACAAATAAACAAAAAAAACCCGTGACTGACGCTGTGGAAGTTTCAAGCTAACTGTAAACGGCTAATAGCAAACATGTACAGTATAACACGAGTCATGTGATGACAAAACACGCATTACCTGCATCTGAAAACCGCAGTAAACTAGAAATATGTGGCTTCTTTTGTGTTTTATTTAGTTCATTGTTTCAGGTCAACTACCCAACAATGTATATTTTACAGTTTTAACCTCTGAAACTGTGTTTTCAATGTTCACATCTCTTTATGAAGACCTACCTCACTGCTTCCGTTGGTGGTGGTGTTGAGAGGGTATGTAGCACCCAAGTGCTGATCAAATGCACTTGATTAACCAATTGTCAACAAATCTGAAAAGTCCTTCATAACAATGGAAGACAAAACAATTATTTCAAGTTATTGCTGCTAAAGGTGGTTCCACAAGCTGCTGAATCATGGAATGTACTTATTTTCTCACAGGACTGTGATGGGGCAACAACTGCCAGTAAAAAAGGATTTATATGTTCAAGAGAGCTAAAAGGAAAACAAATGGTTTTACATTTGGCAAGACTTACAAAATGACAGTGGGAAACTATTTGGGCACAGAGGGAATCAAAACTAGAAGATCAGTCCAGGATCAAATTGTAGGCACAAAAAAGGAAAGCTTTCATATGCTGTAATTTGCTTTGAAGAGTCACCATTCTGAAACAGACTTAAGAAACTTGAAATTTTACCCAGAATGCAAAGTTCTCTATAGTGAATCATCAGAAATCAGATGAAAGTGAGGTGTTGCTGTGCATCACTGGCTTCAGACTGCAGCGATGTAAGACATGATCTGATTTTGGTTTGACGCTGTGACACTTTGAAGTGAGTTTGATGATTGCCCACCACTGGTCCTGACAGGGTTTGGACCCCCTGAGGGGACCACATAGACCCTGATGATGAACGGACCACATGAGTGCTCACATCCACATTTCTGACTAATTGGCTTTGGATGCAGAAGCTGCGTGAGCTGCTGAGGCACTTCAAATTACACCCTCTGGTTGCTCTGCCGACCACGAGCCTTTGTAGACGACATCGCCAGTGTCCATAGAAAACCAGTGAAAGATCCAGTTAAATACTCATCCTGCTTTCCACATCATTGCTGCCCATAAAAAGAAGAGGGGAAAGCCCCCAGCTTCCAGCCTGCAGGAGTGGCTTCAACAGCGTACAGGCTGCAGGGCGCCTCCCTGTGTTCAGCAGAGGTAGAACGCCGATTTCCTCTCAGGCCCATTTGGCTTAAGCTCGACTGAACCCAGCACGGCTCTGGCTTCTCTGTCTGCGGTGTAATCGGACCGTGACCTGCTTTCTAAGCACCTGACCCTTGTCCAATAAGCAGTGAGCCAAGTTAAACTATCTCACCTGTTCACTTTGTTCTGCCCGTCCTGGTTCAGTCACCGCCCGCCTGGCTCTTTGTGGAGGAGAAAACTTTGTTCTCTTCTCACGGTTTTAAACAGTTTCCAGGATTTAGTTCCATAAAGACAAGAGAGATGTTTTCATCTTCTCAGCTTTTGGGCAGAAAAGTCAATGAACAAGTCTCCAATAATGCTCTGTGGTCTTCTTAAAACTCTTTGTGGTCACTTTACATCTATTTAGAGCAGTTTCTGTTTAAAGTCATTTTATCATCTCCATTGTTGTTTTTGGGTCAGTTTTGGAGCTCTTTGTGTTGGTTTTTCTCAGTTTGTGCTCATCTTTCACTCTTTTTGTTGTATTTCTGGATGTGTTTCAGGTTATTTTTTAATCTAGTCATGTTGTGTGTCTTTCTAGTCTGTTTTCCACCACCAGCGCCACCAGTGAGCAATGGATGTGTTGGTTACACTGGAGGAAGATCATAACTTAAATTATTTAAGGGTTTGACAATTTTATTTAAATAAAGCTAAATTTGTAAAAAAAAAAAAAAAGAAGAAGTTTTGATAAATGTTTAAATTGCTGAGGAGCTTATAGGAGTGTCATTAGTGTCTGCAGGTATTCAGACACAAGCCAAAGTGTTTTAGTGTTGCCTCCTCCCTCGCCTCCATCTGTGAGCCCTTTACTGAGCCCCCACTCAGTGTTCACGTTAGTCATCTTTTACTTATCATTTTACTACATTTTACTATCTTTTTGATAGTTTGTAGTCTTATACTACTTTTCCATATCTGTGGCACGTCAAAAACTTTTATAATCTAGTTTGAATGCCTTTATCCATCCATCCATCCTCTTCCATTTAGCCTTATGATGATCACAGGGGGCTGGAACCTATCCCAGCAACCATAGGGCAAGAGTTAGGGTACACCCTGGACAGGTCACCAGCCTGACGCAGTGTTAACACATCCCTTTTTACTAATTTTTCATGTTTTGTAGCAGTTTTGAACCTCTTTTGCTGCTTTGAAGTCATTATTTTAAATCTCTCTGCAGTAAGGATGCAAAAAGCAGAGGTAATGAAGGCAGATGAGTCTAAATACCTGAGTTAAACCAGCGAAATCAACAGACAAGTGCACAAAAGAGGTAATGAAGAGAGTCCAGGGAGGGTGGAGTGGGTGGAGACGGGTGTCAGGGGTGATTTGTGATAGAAGGATTGCAACAAGTGTGAAAGGGAAGGTTTACAAGATAGTACAGATGCTACAATGTACAGTTTGGAAATGGTGGCCAAGCTGAAAATGTTACAGTTTGCTATGGGAGTGACCAGGATGGACAAGCTTTCCTATTTTAACATATTTTGCTAGTAATTTTTGGATTTCTAGCCATTTTCATTCTCTCTCTGCCACATATTTCCTTCATGCTATGAAACACACACAAACTGACTGACGGGTCGGTTAATTACACAGAGGGCGGCTAATAGGCTAAAATGATGTAAGGACACAATATTTCAAATATGCAAATAAAGCTCTGCTGCAATTTCAGAGGAATTTCTGGACAATCACAGCCTCTAACAGCAGGAAGTCAGGTGTTAGTTTCATTCATCGCATCAGGTTTGAACTTGTCAGATACTTCAGAAACTGTTCAACGCTTCAGCGCAGAAAAAATGTGAGCGCGTCAGACTGTTTTTGCCTGGAGTGAAATTGCTGCTCAGACTTACAGCCGGCTGACTCGGTTATTACAGTTATTTAACTTTTCACCCCCAAAGAGGCCACAGGGTTCAACTAGTGAGCAGTTTGTGAGTGAGGGGCATGTCAAAGTGACATAAGTAGAGCAGGTGTTGCACCTACAGGATATGTCATTATCCATCTGCCTTCAGTTCAGCTGAGGGCAGGTGGAGGCACCGACAGTGATGCTTTTATTTGCTTTGAACAGTATCAGATCACAATTTAACTTTTAAGTATATTATCATGAGGCAAAATAACTTTAGTTGTCATTTTTATGTGTGTTTGGGATCATTGTCATGTTGGAACACTGAGTTATGTTTAATTTTCAATCATTTAGTTGTTAATTTGAGCTGAGTTGATTTTTAAAATTGTGCGCTGTCCCTTGCTTTGATGGTTGACCACAGTTTGTTTTTCTCATGTTTCTCATGGTCTTAAATGTTTCTGTTCTGCTCATGATAACCAATTAAATAAATAAATAAATAAATAAATAAATAAATAAATAAATAAATAAATAAATAAATAAACAATACGGTTTGGGTGTGGTGAGACCTCTGACCGCTAGGTCGCGGTGTGTAAAAACACGCAGACTCCTCAGGAAGCAAAGTGCAGGATTTCCGGTCGGCGGCAAAGCGTGTGCTGCTGTTAAGTGCAACGTTATTGTGACGAAAGGATACCAAACGTATACCTTAAAACGCACAGTGCTTATTTACTTTGAGCTAAAATGGTGAGTAAAGCTCGGAAAACTTTACATTTTAGCTTCACCGGATGTTTTGGGGGATTTTTTACTCAGAAGGGCGCGGGAATAGCGACTAGCCTGTTAGCTGGTTAGCATAAGCGAGGCTAGCGTCTCATTCATAACTGTAGAGATAATGAATGAATCCTCACACGGAAAGCAGCCTCACTTTTTATGTTTATCTACGGAAACATAATTAGGCTGGTTTCAATGCTTCCTGTTTATTGGCTGTTTGTTTATTGGCGATTTTCTTCCTGCTTGAATCTGTGGAGAGTGTCGCACCAAACTTCATTCAGAAAACGTCTAATTTAACTGCCACACATATTTTGAAGCTAAATACTTATAATAACTTGATAATTATAAAATTCACGGTTTATTTTTTAATCGTCTTTGTCTTTGGAAAACTGTGCAAACTGAAAGGAAACGTGCAAGATCTCTTTTTAGAGACCTGATACCTATTATAAGATCACAGATCAGAATAAGTCACTGCATATGGTTTTGATTTGACATGTACGGGTATTACGATGCTAAATTGTAGCTGTTTGTTTCATTGGTGTCTGAATTTGATGTGTGTGTATTTATCTCTGATTGGTCTGCTTCTCCAGAGTTTACCTCTGAACCCGAAGCCCTTCCTGAACGGCCTGACAGGAAAACCAGTGATGGTGAAGCTGAAGTGGGGCATGGAATATAAGGGCTACCTCGTGTCTGTGGACGGGTACATGAATATGCAGGTGTGGATCATTTGCCTTGTTCAATTACCTAAAATTTGTTCTACGGTCAAATTATGCATTGTTTATAGACTAGGTATTACGGTAAGAGAAACTGAGACTCGATTTCAAAATAAAAGCAGTTTTCAGCTAATGTGATTTTTAACGTTGACAAGCGCATTTAGTTTGGCATTAATGCAGCTGCTGTAGCATGAAAGGTGACTTGGATTTATTTTTCTAAACTTGGTGTTATTCTGTATCCAAGTAAAAACAACTGTTAGCCCAGAGTAATGTGTTACCTTTGCCTCCTCTGCTTCTTTGTCCCTGTGTTTGTAGCAGCAAACAAAGCTCTTCTCTTAGAAAGGTTGTTTTTACTGCTGCTTAATGCAACACAGAACTCCTCCAAGCTGTCAGTACACAGTTCCCCTGCATTACCCAGCAACAGAAAATTATTTTGTGGGCAGGGATAGTTCAGTAGATAGCATGGTCACCCCATGATCGGAAGGTCTGGGATTCGAATCCACTGAACGGCTACCCTGAGGTACCCTGAGCAAAGTACCTTCCCTACACACTGCTCCATGGGCGCCTGATTAGTGGCTGCCCACTGCTTCACTGAGTGAATGGGTTAAATACAGAGAAAGTAATTTCCCTGTGGGGATCAAGTATATATTATTATTATTATTATTATTATTATTAAAACTCGAGCAATGTGTTCATGGGGTCACACAAGAACCTGTAGTATTTTCCTGTTGAAGGATAAAATGACATCATTGCAAGGAAGCATCATTCCAGTGTTGGGCTGTACACCAGTGACCAGACAGTCACAGAAGAAGGGACCTGTGTTAACTCAACACTGTCCTCACTTGTAGTTCTAAACATACACCCTGATGAAAATACACACATATTAATATACTTAGGACAACATCAATAATCCAGCTCAGGGAAAACATCCTGATACTTGATAATTTGTGAAGTATGAACAGTTTCTACCCATTAAAAACTTCACATTTATAGAATTACACCACAGAATGGCATGCTAGGCTATGCTAAACTTAAAGTCAGAGTTTTCTGTATCACCAAAGTGGCTCTGTTTTTACCTGGTGAAATCAGGTAAAAACAGATTACATTTTTTTTATTCGTTTATTTAGCGCTTGTTGTAAGTATGAATTTGTGCAACTGTGGCGACTGATCATTGCCATTGTCACTAGTCAGTGCTGAATGTACAAGTCATTAAATCTAATTAAATTATATTTTAAGTCCAATGCTGGTGATTTGGTGTCCTAAATATTTATTCAACTATCTGCCACCAGATGGAGCTGCAGCAACAAGATTTTTGTAGAAAAATGCCATAACTTTGCTAGGCTGGGCCTGATCGTATTGTTAAGGCTCTTTTTAGTTATTTTGATATACAAGCAGTAGAAATGAGCTTTCTCCGAAGGATGGCTGGCTATTAGAGGCTCACAGTAGAGCCGCTACACCTCCACACTGAAAGGAGACAGTTGAGGAGGTCACCTCCTGTGTGAGGTGTTCTGGGTGGACACCCAGGAAGCACCGGAGAGATTTTATCTGTCAGCTGGCCTGGGAACACCTCAGTGTTTCCCTGGATGAGCTGGAGGAGGTGGCTGGGATGAGGGAGGTCTTGGCTTCTCTGCCCCACCAATTATCTTACCTGACCTTTGAACTTTGTTTTATTTATTTATTTTTTTTACAGCTGGCAAACACAGAAGAGTATGTGGATGGAGCGTTGGCCGGACATCTCGGTGAGGTTCTCATCAGGTATGTGAATGACACTTTGTAACGCCACAGAGAGAAATCAGTGGGAGTCTGAACAGTTTGAAGTCGTCAGACTTGACTAACTTGTGTTAATAATTAAGTGACTGGTGAAAGGAAACGCTTTCTCATGCTGTGCTCGACCTCCACAGGTGCAATAATGTTTTGTACATCAGAGGTGTAGAAGAGGAGGAAGAGGACGGCGAGATGCGAGAGTGATGCTGGGCTGATGTGTGTTTGTGTTTTCACCGTGTGAAACAAATGAACGTTTGGGGTTATTTTTCAAGCAGCTTTGAATCTTTTTTTTTTCTACTGTATGTGAGACCAGTTTTATGTTGTGATACAGACACAATAAAGTGATTATTGTATCCTTTCTTAAAAAATACGTGTGTTTGTGTGTCGTCTGATTTATTTTTTTTTCTTTTTTGGCGGGGGGTGTACAGTAAGCCCCACCCTCCCCTCTGTGCACTTTAAACTCTGCTCTTTCTCTCTTGGGTAAATATTTGCCTGTTTCCTGAGTTGGCTTCAACACCCTCTCTCCTAAAGTTTGACTTCAGATGAGTCAAAATGTCCAGACCTTACAGACTGCTGGTTAAAAATGCCAAACAGCTAGTTTTGATCTGCAAAAACTCTGAGAAGTACCTGACCAAAGATGGGATGCAAAATCTCTGCGTGATTGAAAATGGGAGCGTTGTAATAGGAAGGTAAGTTTGTCACAAATTATGAATTTTATAGGCACATTTTCAGATCTCTAAGCTTTATAAAGGAGATGTCAGACATCTGGGTCGGGGGTCAAAAGTGACTACTGCTTCTGGTGTGAGGATTTAAACACAGTAGAAGAAGTCTATGCAAGGTTAGAAGCTTGTTAAAATCTCAAGATTTTTGAATTATAAAGAAAGTGGAAATGTTTGGGTTCCAAAATCTATACATGTGCATGCTTTGTGCTCTACAAAAGCACACAAACGGACAGGAAACTGAATAAATGAGGAAAATTAGGACCTGCTGTTGAAGCTGCTATTTTTACCTTTGACACCTTTTGCTTTACACCATGTGATGGCAAAAGAAGGCTACAGGGATTATTGAGTAAAAGATTGGGTTTTGACTGTCAAATGTTTACTGTCCTGTTAAGTAAAATAAAGACAGTAGATTTTAAAGATGACTAAACTGGTGATAGGTTTTTATTGCACATGTAGCTGCACAAATGCAAAATTTGCATCTCTTAAACGTTTGATTCAGAGCCTCTTCTACCATGTTGCCCTACAATTAGACAGGTTTGGTATTTTATTTATACACTACTTCTTATTGTTATTTTCTAATATATCTCTAATTCACAGACCAAGCTGCTTTAGTGACTGAAATGATGAGCATCCCCATGTAATGTTAAAGGCTTTAAAAAATGGTTCTATTTATATTTATCATATCTCTACTGTCTATCACAGATGCTCTGAAATGTTCTAATGTAACTTATTACTTTCAGTCATTTTAATGCAAAAGAGGTCATCCAAGACGCCACTGTAGATCTGTTAGCTATATTACAATGCCAAACATCAAAATATAGCAAAGAAAAAGTGGAAAACTACAATAGAATCAATGGTTCTGTTTAAAAAAACAGATCTGTTTTGGAAGTTGACAAATACATTGGGAAATGCTTAAAAATAACACGGCACATGAATAAATATGACAGGAGTCATAAATAACCTCTGTTGAAGGTTAAGAAGCTTTATTAGAGTCTCTCAGATTTCATCAGAAAGATGGAAAATATCTCATGTAACTACAGAAGTGAGCAGAGCTTGTTAGGAGCTGTGCTGTGCTTTTGGGCACCAGTTTCAGGTTATTTGAAAAGTGATTTCTTAACCTGACGACCAATGATACGATGTCAGATCGTGCCAATGATACACACTGGAGCGCCCCCTACAGGCTCATGACATGGCAGAGAACAACGTCACTGGATGAATGTGTGCTTTTCCCTCACAGTGACGGGCTGATTAAAGCTGTAGGGCCTGCAGAAACCATCAGAGCTCAGTATGCAGAAGCTTTGTTTGACAAAGTGATCGATGCTGCAGGAATGTGCGTCCTGCCAGGTGAGCATCAGCTCTGTATCAGTTCTGTTGGCTTAAATATAAGCAGTCAGACGCGTGAATTGTTGAGAATTTCTTGCCTTAGTATAATGTAAAAAAATACTTGATGTTCTAAAAAAAATCTCCCAGACATTTGTTTTGTTTGTTTTTTGTTTTCTCCCATTATCATCATCAAATTTACAGACTAAAGATGCTAAATTTAAATGATTTGTTTGATATCAAGCTTGTGAAAAATATGCAAAAAAAACTAAGAAATCAGGAAGGAGCCGAAGTCCAAAGTACTTTTAATGTTTGACCTTTTACTTCTGCCTCTTCTCGCAGTGATTAACTGCTACAAACTTCTTGTTTCAGGCTTGGTTGATGCTCACACTCATCCAGTCTGGGCTGGGGACCGAGTGCATGAATTTGCAATGAAGGTAAATTATTCTGCTTAACTTCACTTCGCTTCACTGAGCATCTGAACTGTTGATGACATGCTCGGCGCTCCATCTGCAGCTGGCAGGTGCCACCTATATGGACGTGCACCGAGCAGGTGGAGGCATCCACTTCACGGTGGAGCACACTCGAGCCGCCCCCGCCTCGGACCTCCTGGCGACCCTCCGCAGCAGGTTGGTGCGGATGCAGCGAGCGGGCACCACCCTGGTGGAGTGTAAGAGCGGTTACGGCCTGGAGTTGCAGACCGAGCTGAAAATGCTGGAAGTGATCGAGGAGGCCCGGCGCTCCCTACCTATAAACATCTCTGCCACCTATTGCGGAGCTCACGCAGTGCCCAAGTAAGTATAACTATTTTTGCCTTATATTCCATATCTCCTCCTCCTCCACGCCTTCCTCCTCCTTCAGAGGGAAAACAGTGGCAGAAGCTACAGAGGACATTCTGAGAGTTCAGCTGCCTCGGCTGAAGGAAAGGATGTCTGCTGGGACTCTCAGAGTCGACAACATCGACGTGTTTTGTGAGCAGGGAGTGTTTGACCTCAGCTCGAGCCGCTCCATCCTGCAGGCAGGCAAACAAATGGGCCTCAACATCAATTTCCATGGAGATGAGCTTCATCCCATGAACTCTGCTCAGGTATCTGCCGAAGCTTATGTATACACTGTAAGCTACAGCCTAAAGATGAATATTCACCTCTGAACCACATCATAACCTTCAGTTTCTGCTCACCGGATCAACAGTACTCATATTATTTTAGTTTACACCAACTCCAAAGAAAAATATCAGCTAGTTTCCACCTTTGTGATGAAAACTAGCATGCTTCATTACCATCTTTACTACCAGACCTACGCTCTTCTGCATCTGGATAGTCTCCAGATCCCCATACAGATGGATTGAGAAAACAAATGTTCACAGAGTCATGTGAAGTAAAAATAGTAAGTATGATTGGGAGCTACAGATCATTTTTGTGGCCTTATTAAACAGTTTCCATACACCCATATGTTTTTTT